GTGAGTATTCTAGTTTTATCATATATTTAAAAAAAAATCTTTTATGGAATAGCATCTAGTAAACGAATGGTTTGTAAATTAAGTTCAGTGTATTTATACAAGTTAGAAAAAATTATTTCCAAGCGTATAAAGTTAATAAATACAATTAATGCTTTGATGGACCGTTGTTAAAATCGAGTTTGATCCAGAAAACTCATTTGGATTAAATCTCGTCATTTCCGCCGCAGGGTTAAAGGCATTTTCATCGATAAAGCTAATGTTAATATGCATCGAAGTAATATCATTTTTACCTCTATAATGGTGTGAAAAGTAAAAAGCTTTAAGAAAAATGATATTTTTGTCTGTTTTGTTAATGCTGTTCTGAAGAAAGACAGCCTAGAGGCAAACTATCGTATGAAGCTTGAATGGATTGCTATATGCATGAATAGGTATGCCGTAGTGTGGAAATTACAAAAACCAAACATGGTTTAGACAACATAAATCCGTGCTTACAAAGTATATTGAATAAAGCTGAAAATCATATTTGCTTTATGAATTTATTGAAATGAGATAGAAAGTTCAATACTCTGAACTATCCATCCGGATATTAAACTGGATGAGTAAAATATAATATATTTCCTTACTTTAGTATAATTTTAAGAATTTTCTCCTAATTGTTTGACGGGTAGATGGGAGTGGAATGTTTACAATAAATAATAAACATTCAACAACTTCAATATATACTATTATATATGTACTTTAATATATTTAATATATATTAATATATACGTAAGCGAATTTTTTTTCCTTCTTAGTCACTCCTTTGTTTTCAACTATAAATTCCCCAATTATTTTGGTTTTTGATAAAAAGATAACAGACGCTGTATTATTATTTATTGATTGTGTGTGTGTGTGTGTGTATGTGTATGTATATATATAATTAGAAAACGTTTTATATGTCATCTCCAAGGAACAGAAATTCAATTAAAACCATGAATTATTAAAAATATTTTAGTAGTTAGTATTTTAAATTAGTATTTTCTAGACCTCTCTGTTGCTTTGAAAACATAAAATTCTGTAAAAGAAAAGCCCACCAGCGGCCGAGCGGTAAAGTCGCTGAACACTGGTAGTTCGGTCCGAGGTTCGAATCCCGCGAACGGGCTGACTGCATGGGCGTTTTCATGGTTTTCCCCATGTGTAACGTGTATACGAGCCAGTTTCCCTTAGAAAGTCCTCCACGAAGGCATCCCTCCCTTTAGGCAGATAGCCCTCGTGTGCTTTGCCATAATTAAATACACCACCATACTGTAAAGAAAAATCCATAATAACAAAAATACCAAAATCAAAAGTAAAACTTTTATTTCAAGTATTGAAAAAGTAGCTATTGTCATTGATCGCATATCAATCGACTTATCAAGAGGAATAAACCAATCTACCATCAATTAACAATAACTAAATTGAGAGTGTTTCGTCTTTCTACCAAGTAATCATCAAATTATATTTCTGCTACAGCCAAATCATAAGTCACGAATAATACTCAATCAAAATAAAGACATTAGTCCAATTCAGCCAAAAGAATCTTCATAAACAAAATTAATTAGTAATAAATTATTCTTTTTAATTTAAGTTGCTCACTTAGATGTATACCTGACACTCATTTTCAAACTGAAATTTTGTTCTAAAATAAAAGTTATATATTTTTAAAAATTAAAAAGGTATTGAGAATCAAAAGAAGATCAAAATTGACAAAATCCTTAAAATTAAAAATAGTTATTTAAAATGTTTTTAAAGATCAAACCTAGAAAGCAAATTAAAAATAACTTGCTTGTCTGCTCAAATTTAAAACGAAATGGCTGGAAATGCAATTGTATTCAGTGATGAAATGTAAGAGAGTTATCGTAAGAAGTGATGTCCTCTTCAAGATAGTTTAGTCTTAAATTAGCGACAAAACTTTTGAAAGTTTCTTGGAAATAATATGTATATGTATGTATAATTTCAAATTTAACAATATTCTCTCATTCGCATAAAGAATTTAAATTTTAAATTATAAAATTTAATTGTATAAAAATGAAAATTAATTATTGCTGCGAACTAATTGTCAATATCATTCAGATTTAGAAAGCATATGTAAATTAAGTGCAGGTAGGTATCTAAAAAACATGAAAAAATATTTAATAATCCACAAAATTAATCCTAAGTATTTTAAAGAATTTTTAGTCCAAAGGGGCTTTGTCTCTGAAGGACTATTGTTTTCGTTTTGCGATTTTTCGTTGAATCACTCTGATTTTCGTTTCACTTTTCAAACTGTTGGCACCAAATTCTATCGCCCTGTATTGTATTTGAAGAAATTAAATAATGAAAAATCTGCATAAATGTATGTATGTTTCTTGCATTGTGATAAAACAACGGTACCTAGAGCCATCAAATTTTGAATGACGTAATCTACTGCGAATATGGGCATCTGGAAGACCAAATTTGGAATTTGCTTAAGACTAAATTAATTTGCACAGAGTGAATAATTGTTGAGCAGACAGGAGACAGATCTTTTTAAGGGGAAGTTGACTCTAAACCTAACTTTTCAATTACTCATTTCGTGTTTCGTCATCCATATAGGCATGGCAAAGAGTTATTCAAAACCAAAAATAAAAAAAAAAAAAAGTAGTGAATAGCTTAAATAAGAAATTTAACTATAAAAGAATTTCGAGAAATTTAGTAAGCAAATACTACTAGGAAACAAAATTATTAATTAAAAGTACATTGCTAATGTAATTAAGAATATAAATACAAATTAATTTAGAAACCCTTGCCTATACTGGAACTTCCCCGACACGAATTCTGCATGCAAACCAAAATAAACTAAATAGAACGTATAAAAATAATACAAAAAAGGCAAGTAAATAGTAAGTTTTAATTTAACTTATCTTATAACTACATATTTTTGTACGCGGGAGAAGGGAGTAGCATTTGTTAAACAAAGTGATGTTTAGCAGTTTGCTTCTGCTATACACACACATTTATAATCAATAGAAAATAGACAATAATTAAGTCAAGAAACTACTTAACAGTCTAACCATAAGTACACACATCAAAACTGAAGCAATAACAATTCAATAAAATAACCTTTATCTCCTATTCTTCGTTTAATTAGTAGCTACTAATTATTACTCCTATAAATTAAGTCGTAGTATTAGAAAGTCGCTAAGTTTTAGTACATTGCGGTACTTTAATAATAATTTATTATTTTAACTTAAAATTCTTTAACTTTTTGTTACATGTGATTGTATGTATGTATATCGTATCAGCTGCATGACTTTCAAAACTAACGCGAATATATATTAACTAGAAAGCCCGGCGGTCATATGAAATGACTACTGTTCTAGATATTATAAATTGTAATTAAAATGATTTGCGCAAAGGTGTCTGCTAATTCAGACTGAATTACCAAGGGCAGGCGGCGAGGACGCCATTTTGCTTACTGCTCCACGGGGTTTCCCCCTTCTACTTGCTTAATTGCTTAAAGTAGAGTGCAATGAAGAAAGCCACTCGCGGTACATTTCCTAACAGCCACCGCTAGCTCAATAAATAAAGGTGATTTAAATAATAAAATCTTAATTCGCATGTCAAAGATCTCTTTGTACATAACATTTCTTGTGTAGATCGGATTAGTTTCTATCGCCATCTTCGAAACCTTTCTCGATAATGAAAAGCGGAAAGCAGATACCATCTTCATTTTTTTAAGAAGGGAAGTGTTATAGTGTGTTACATATTTGTGTGATAGTGTTAATGTTACGAGATAAGATTTCAATATTTCGTGAAATCCTTTTAAAACATTCATTTACCAATATATTACTTATTTATTTGCATTAACTATCAAGTTAATGAATTCTAAATAGTATATAAAGCCTTCATAATTACGAGGGCCATCCAGGAAGTAGATTACGTTTCCGTCTGTGTCCGCTAGGGGCGGGGCTAGCGCGGCCATCTTGGGGTCAGAGCGTTGCGCAGCTCAGTCTGCATCTAGCCGTTGCTAGTGAGAGGTTCGTGCTGTGCTCCGTTCAGATACTGTGACGGTTTGAAATGTCTGCGTTAATTGAAAATCCCGCGAGCTGCGCTCAGTAATAAGGTTTCTGACTGCAAAAAACTGTAAAACCGATAGAAATCTATCGGCAGCTTCGTGAAGTGTATGGGGACAAACATTATCACTGAAGGTGGAGTGCTGCGTCAGTGGGTCCATAATATTTCAAAATGGCCGAACCAATGTTCACGACGAAGATCGAAGTGGGAGACCCAGCATAGTGACCGCCGAACTCTTCTCGAAAAGTCGATGCTAAAGTCCGTGAAAATCGAAAATTTCACAATAACGGAACTTTCTTTGAGTTTTCCACAAATTTCGCGAAGTTTGTTGCACGAAATCATCAGCGAAAAGAAGAAGAGGTAACGAAGTGGTTGAAGGCGCAGGCGGCCGAATTTTTCGACGAAGGAATTTCCAAGCTCGTACATCGCTACGATAAATGCCTTAATTTGTATGGTGACTATGTAGAAAAAGTAGTATTTGAGTGTGGCTTTCATCTGTATATAATAAAATTTGTTTTCCATACTACTTTGTTAATTTTTTATTCCAAAACGTAATCTACTTTCTGGATAGCCCTCGACTTATTGTATATAATATTTATTTATATTATATTTATATTAATATTTAATATACTTATGTATATAATATTTATTTTTAAAGGATAACCAATGTCTAATTTATTATTTAAAAACATGAGTTACAATATGTATAAAGCTGAATACGATGCATGTAAGTTATATTGTTGACGAGATCTACAAAGTTATGTTGAAATTAACATCCTAGAATACGTTTTTTCATATCATCATAAATGTGTCGTAAAACTAGTTGACGAAAGCGCCAATGAATTATCATGAACGATGAAGTTAACTTCAATTAAGCAGCATGAATATGTAAATTTGATATTCCATCTAATGGCATGAATAAGCAAAATTTCGTTTATTATTTACAGCTGCTTACAACACACTGGACGTTATAAAACAAATCATTCATCGCCAAAGATACCTTTTTGTTTCTTCTCGTCACCTCGGCTTTTCTTTCAACTGAAGAAAAAGAGTTGCGAAAATGGATATAGAAGAATACAGAGTACACGGTAAGTCACTTAAGTTAGTGTGTTAAGTTATGAGGGGAATCTGTAAGTTATATACTATAACTTATAACTAATAAGTTACTATAAGTTAACTCTATTTTTCCCGTAAAAGTGAGGTGCAACAACCAACTTTCGTTCTGGATTTATGGGCGGTTCTATACTCATGTATCTAGTCTAGCCTAACGGCTAATCAGTTTGGATAACTAACAACAACAAGAAGTTATAAGGTGGATTATATATATAAGGTGTTATTATATATATTATAAGCTAAGGTGAATGTACATGTCAGCGTATAAATTGTTTATCATTGTTGCTTAATTATGATATCGTAATAGCTATTACTTTAAGAAAATATATTTATGTTGTCATAAACTGATATTATGCTATCTAACACCCTTTTTCAGCTAGCAAGGAGAAGCCACTTACTTTGCAAGTCCAAAAGTCTTCCAATTTCGGCATATTTATTGGTAACATTAAAAGGAATGTATTTTGAAAAGCCTAGGGAATGTCTGTCCGAAGAGTATAGCTTAGATCAGCGGTTCTCAACCGGTGGTACGCATACCACTGGTACGTATACCACCAGTGGTATGCAAAAGAAAAATAGGTGGTACGCTAAGAAGCAAAGTATTTTTAACTATTAAATTCAAAAATTAAAACCCCAACATCCTGACTGAGTTCTTTATCTAACACTCGTAAATTTATGCGATCTGAGCTTTGTTCATGAGTGGTGGTGGTAGTAGTACTTTGTAGTGGTGGAACTAAAGGTTTTGTTTAGATGGTAAGTGTTAGTCAAAAGGTTGATAACAGCTGGCTTAGACTGTCTTAGAAGTCGGATGTGTTTTTTTATGTTCTTGAAAGGTCCTTTATTTATATAAAGAACAATGATCAGTCATTAGTGCATTATACGTCGTTCGATAACTTTCTGCTTTCTTTTAATGAGGTGTGTAATTCCTCTCTCCCTATATCCCTGAAAAATTGAACAAGGAGTTGATTTACAGCCTTATCTGAATTGAATGTTACACTACGAAAGAAATTTTGAAGAATGCGAAACAAGTGAAAGACTGAGGCAAAACATCAGGCAAGTATGATACGCATGGCAACACTTTTCAACTAAACTCTAATAATTTTTGTCAGGCTAATCAAACTTGTGTGTCTCGCGCTATGGAAACAAAATGCAGTTCCTGTCCGTAGAAGTTTCAGGAAGACTTTTTTTTCCGAACGCGGTAATATTTTGTCCTTTTTCTACACTAGCCACTTCTAAGGCAGGAGACGGTGGCCATTTATTGTGGAGGCACATAATAGGCGGCCATTGTTACCTCCTATGAAAGGATGGACAGTTACAACCATGCCTTCTCTAGGATTCGAACCTGGCCCTTCGGTATCCTAGTTGGCTCCCCTAACCACTATACTATTTGGGCGGCAAGATTCAGAAAGATGGATTCGTTGAAACTGTCCAATTGGTGACAACACACATTCGATCCGATTTGTTTGCTTGTTGATAGGAGCTTGGAAACAAAACCATATACAAGTTTGATCACTGAAAACATTATTGGAGTTTGAATGAAAAATGTCCCACGCGTTGTTACAGTTTAGGTAGCTGGCCACGAAAGGGTTGCAGCTTTTTAACTGTAGCTTGTTATATTTTCCTTACCGCATTGCGGATTTTGATATAGATGTAGTGGCAACAAGAGTTAAATGATGAACGTTCCAATATCAAAATACAATTGTTGTACACAGCTGTAAATAAAGTTTCTGTGTGATAAAAATGGAAAGAATTTCAAGCGTTCCTGTGGATTTCATCAAAAAAGGTAAGGAAAAAGAAACTCTTATCAAATGTTGTTAAATGTAAAAAAAAAAAAAAAAAAAAAAAAAAAAAAAAAAAATACAAATAAGAAAAAAGATCACAAAGTGCTACACGCGTATTGGCAAAGCTGACCAAATTTAGGACTCAGCTGGGTACATTCATAATCTCTTTATTCAAATGACATTAAATCATCGATAACTCGTCAACATATATGGCAAACTGTTGTAACATTCAAGCTGTCGTACACCATTTGTATTCGTGTCCAATAAATGTTTCAAATTATTTACTCTTATTTCTTTTCCCATCTTCTATCTCTGCTACCGCTTACACCTGACATTTCCGGACATGGGTTCCTATGCAATTCTTAATTCTTTATTATATGCCCTACCTCCCCTAGAATTTTGTCACAACATTTACGGTACACCCTGTATTTACCGGAATGCATGAGATATGAATAAACATATTTTTTATTTGGTGTTTGTGTTCCTTTCTATTTTTCTTAAATATGTAATATAGTTGAGTGTATAAATCTTTAGGAGAGAGTATATAAATTTATATAAACCAAAAAAAGTTCATTTTTTATAAGCGAGCATAATTTTGCTTATTCACAAATAGTAATATTTTATGTTATAAAAGAACAAAATATGCAACATTAAAAAACTGTCTTCTTATTGACAAAATTCACTCACGATAGTATAACGCTTTTCCAGTACCATTTACTTGTTTTATATTCGCACGGTATTAACACTTCGGCAATTAAATAACAAGATTATTAATCATCGTTTTTGAAAGAGAACAAATATGTTTCAACTATATGTCATTAATATATTGCTGCCCTCTCTTTTTCTTTTTCAGATAAAGTAAGTTTTAATTTTAGAAGAATAGATTGTATCTAAAAAAAAAAAAAAAAGATTTTTATGTAAATGCTTAAAACATTATTCTGTAAAACCATATTACAATTCATATAATATTTTCATAATCCGGATTTTAGTTCAGCAGAATTAACTGCAAAATACTCCTCCTCTTTTTATCAGTATTTAAGATTATATTTAGATAAAAAGGATTTGTACAAATCATATAATCTGAGAAAATTAAAAGTAGTTTTGCATTTGCATTTAAAGATAAATCTTAATTTATGGCTTATATAATATATTACAGGGAAAGAAATGGTGGACTACATTGCAGATTATTTAATAAACATCAGACAACGGAGAGTGTTTCCAGGTGTTAAGCCAGGATACATGAGAGATTTATTGCCTGATTCTGCACCCGAGGAAGGCGAGAATTTTGACAGAATTTTCGAAGACATAGAAAAAGTCATCATGCCAGGAGTAAGCTAATTTAAATGATTGCTTCTATTTTTTTAGCTCAATCAGTAAATGATATATAAAATCATAAAAACTTTTAATGATATCTTTTTCATTAAAAAGGTCATAAAAATAATAAATAAATAAATTTATCTAAACATTACATGAAATCAAAATTAGGCATAAAAGCAACTTTAATTGGCTACGCATTTTAAATAAAATTCTATCGAATTCGTCAGGAGCAAAACAATTTTGCAAAAACGGAGAAAGTGACAGCCATTTTATGTCCAAGGCAACGGACGGAGCAATGAGAATAGGAGTTAAGCGCCATGTGTCGAGAAAAATAGTAATAAAACGTAAAAAAACTAAGGTATTACAATTCTGAAAAACACTAGGAAGAACTGAACTGCCACTCAATCGGGATAGTGGTTAGCGACGCCCATTGCCGTACCGAAGGTCCGGGGTTCGAATCTCGGAGAAGGCATGGATGTTTGTAAATGTATAGTGTTGGCGCGGCATGGGGGTACTCTAAATATGCGGCGAGCCGAAAGTCCTCTCGTCTGGATTGGTGGAAGGGGAGAGGGGTGGGAGACCACCGTCAAAATTGGGGTGGAAAATAAGAGTCCAACTTCTCTTCGGAATAGGCTCTGGCAATCATTGTTCCATGGACAAAACAATAACAACAAGGTTTATGGATAATTTTTTGCAGAATCCAAGTTAAAATTATGAGTAAATGCTAAACTATGATTAGGTTGCATTTACTTGCAAACTATGATTAGGTTGCATTTTATAATTAGGTTGCATTTAGTTGCATTTATTTGTTAAATTCTGCTTTTCCAGCATGAAATCGTATTCCATGATGCAAAATTTTAGATATTGTTACGTTTTTTTGTTCTGACACCAGTTGTTAGGTTATTATCTTCGTTCACGTTCGTACGGGGTTCGTAGATTTATACAAATCCCTTTCGCTTTAGCGGTTTCATTTTAAAAACGTTTTAGATAGTCCTGGTGGTGCCTTCAAAATTTTCTTCAAATAGATTCTGATTTTCACGAGAGTTAAAATCTATAGATCATACGTATTTAAATTTCTTGCGCATTAGAGAATACATACTGTTACGTTATTTTCTTCCTTCACGTTCGTACGGGGTTCGTAAATTTGGAGTAAATAACGACGACAACTTGATGAAGTATCGAAACACACTTTATTTACCAATATTGTCAGGACAGCTCCAAAACACGTTTTACAGTCGTCGATGGACTACTATAAACACGCTGACACGATCAGCGACACAGCCTTTAGGTTATCAGGCTATAACGTTGGAGACAGCTCCACTGCAAAGCACCAGAGTACAGCTCCCGCCTCTGCTTGGTCGTTAGCGGAACTCCACGTACTCTGGAGACTTTCCACGCTACAACTCGCGAGCTCTCGACGACACACAGAGCACAGCTCCCGACTCTTCTGTTCAGTGGTTCCCGGAGCTCAACACACTCTCTCGACGATGCACTAACCGCGATACACTAAGAGACTCTTTCAATGGACTCGACGACCCACTAGGCACTCGCTGCCCGGCTGTCAATTCGATCGACTTCGCATGAACTGACTAACTCGAGATTACTATCTCGCACTCTATGCGGGGCACTCCACTGACTGCGGATCAGCAGGGTTTATATAGTTGTCGGCTTGTTTTCAAGAACATTCTGGCCTAAACCGATAAGAATTCATTCCAAAAGGTTCTCCAACCGTCCATGGTATATCGCCAATTTTGTCGCCAAATCTCGCCAAATGTCGCAACTTTGCCTTCCTTTGCTAGTTTATGGCAACCCTAAACCTGCTTTACGGGAAAGCTATCTCACCGCGCCTGGACATTTCGTAACAATATTTTGTTTTGTTTGGTCAATGTCTATCAAGTCACATAACTGGTCACCTATGTCGGCCAAACTAGAAGAGAGTTAAAATTTCTCAGCAAGGTATAGTTAGCCATAATTCGCGTTATTGTCTATAATTAATCTTAATTCGAAAACTTAATCACGATATTTTTTTTTACTTTAGATATGCGAAAATTATCCATAGTACTTCTTTAGTTGACAAATTGAATTACGTTGAAACTTTTCACATTCTCAAAAAATTTATTTTTTTAACTAATGACATAAATTCCAATTCAGTTCTTCGGACTGATACTTTCAGAACCCTAATGTCTTATTTTTCACGTTTAAATAAGTTTAATTCAGATTTTAAATTCCTAAAATTTTGAGAAAAAATTTAGTGAAATGCTTTTAAGATTAAATGTTTTAAAAGATGTGGGCCGCCCATACGGTAAAGTGGTTACGGGAGCCTACTGCTGTACCGAAGAGCCCGGGTTTGAATCCCGGAGAAGGCATGGATGTGTGTAAAGTTACAGTGTCTGTTCGGCAACGGGGCACTCTATATATACGGCAAGCCTAAAGTCCTCTCAAAAGCTCAAAAGCTTGGTGGTCGGGGAAGAGAGGTGGGAGGCCCTCGGACCCGTTCCGCTGGGTGCTCTCCATTAAAATTGGGGCAAAGTCGTACTGTCACATGAAGGTGCTTAAGATTCTTGCCAACGACAGGCGCAGTCTTGCTCTCCTTGCCATGATGAATTTCGTGGGCTTGTTCTGACGTCACTGTCTAACATGACGACACTGTCTAACATGTCTGACGTCACTGTCTAATGAGACAAGTAACAGCAACAAAAAAATGTAGGCCAGGGTATCATTTTCAAAACGAAAAACGAGGCTCGCACCCAGGTTCTCATTTTCAAGTGGTCTCTAAATTCTATTTTGCATACTTTTCTGTTCTGAGTTTTAAAAATATAGAATTAAAATTAAAAGTCGTCGGAAGAAATGATTTCTTTCAACTCTGAGAGAAAGTGAATTTCAGACCAAAAGGCCGTTAGCTTGAATGGGCTATTGGTCTCCAAATGGGATTTTTGTCGTCCACTATAAACGGCGAATCACTTTTCAACTTGCTGCCACCTATTACCTTGTATTATATTTTAAAAAATTAAATAATGAAGAATCTGCATGAATGTATGTATGTTTCTCGCATTGTGAAACAAACGGCGGAACCCAGAGCCATTAAATTTTTAATAACTTTGTCCTTCCTCGAACGTGTGCACCTGGATGACCAAGTTTTGAATTTTATATTTCACATTTTGTAAAACATTAATAACTTTTTGATCATCAACGATTTGAAAACAAGCAGTGGCAACACTGTACGGAATAAAATATTTTTATCTCCAGCGTGCGAGATTGTCTATCGAAAATTCTGTAGATATTTTGTTTTTAAATATTTTGTGATTTTGTTGTTGAATTTAAATGTATGTGGGATTAAGTACGAAAAACATGATATTTAATAAACAAATTTAGCGCACAAAACGTTAATAATAAAAATACAGCAAAAGATTTTGGAAGCCATTTTACTAATAAAACTGAATATTGATATGATAAACTAAGAACAGACTAATAAAAAAAATAGAAAAGTGTATGCCAACACTTTACGCTGTATCGAGAATTCTAAAAAAGTGCTGCTATGCTGCTTTGAAAATTTTGAAATTTCTTTTGAATTGTATACGGCGCAAGTGTGAAGAAAATGATGCTTAGTAACAGAGCTAAAAGGACAAACAAAATGGGTTAGCAGGCGTAAGTGCAACTCTAGACTGGTAAACTGCGAGCTCAGCGTGAACAAGAAGACCCTTAACAGGCCCTTTTGGGCGATCGTTCAAATCTGAATTCTTTCAGATTATGCTTTTTTAAATCTGCATTTTAATCATATGCTCGATTATGGAAATGATAAACAATTTAATTGAATTAATTTGTTCTTATGTATATAACTTACTTAAAATTTGAAATTTGTATTAATATTAGTAAACACTCTATAATATTAGTAAACACAGGATCTTCACTTGAGTTTCTTTCAAAACAAAAATTCTAGTTTCAAATGTATAAATTTAGTTTTTGAAAAACATGCTAAGCAATAAAACAAACCGAAATGATGAAAACAAAGCATACGAGAAGGTGAATACGCACTTTTTTATTTAAATAACTTTGGAAAAGATATCAAATACGATTATTTGACCAAATACTTTATATGAAATATAATTTGTGTTACCAGCAAACTAACCAGAGCCTTCTTTTCTTGCTGTGGAATATATGAGCTACCAAATGAGGGCAAGAAGTTGTTATAATTTTCCTGAATACCCAATGTAAAAGAAATCATATGTCTGGAACACCAGGTTCTCAACATTTTTTGGCTCATGCACCACTTTCACCATTGCTAGGAGATCATTTCCTCTTCCTTTCCAAAATTCGAAAATTAAACATGTACATTGTTCATTTTTATATACATTTATCAAGATTTAGATTATTTTCATAATATATTTTAGAAATTAAGCAGCAAAATGCGTAGAAAATGCTGATAAATACTCAGTTTTGAATAACGTAATCCTACTGCGAATATGGGCATCTGAAAGCGCGAATTTGAACTTTCGAATTTGTTTTATCATCGATTTCATATTTTGTAAACCTTTAACGAATTTTTGTTTAAAAAACTCAGCGATTTAAAAGCGAGCAATGGCAACACTCTATTGGGGGGGGAACCCTTTTATCACTAGCGTGTGGAACTGTGCATCGGAAATTCTAAAGATAGGCTCATTTTAAAAATTTTAGCGACACTGCTGTTGAACTGAATTTTATGAATTACGTGCAAAGAACATGCTATTTAATAAATAAAGGTAGCACAGAAAACGTTCAAAAAAACGCCCCTTTGGACGTAATTTAAAATCTGAAACCTTTCAGATTTTTTTTATATTCATAAATTGAAACCAAATTCGATTACAAAAAGCCCAGTTGCGGTAAGATAGTTTCCCCATAAAACGAGGTTAGAGTTACGAGAAAATGGCAAAGAAAAGCAGGGTTGCCAGATTTGGCGCGAAATCGCCAATATGGCGACAAAATTGGCGTTATGCCATAGACGGAGGAGAACATGCTAGAACGAATTCTTACCGGTTTTTCTGAAAATATTCTCAAAGGCAGGTCAAAAGCATTATATACCCTGTCTGTACACGGAGTATCTTGAGAATATCTACAGTATCTTAAGTTCAGCAGTAGCAGAGCATGCGTCTCTTGAGTTCAGAGACTGGCTCAGAGGCATCGACCCGGTCGGGAGCTGTACTTTTGTGCTTTGCCATGAAGCTGTCTTCACCTTTATAGCCTGATATCCTGTATGCTGTATTGCTGATTGTTTCAGCGTGTTTGTCGTAGTTTTTGAACGACTGTAACGCATCTCTTGAACTGTCCTGTTTAATACTGATGAACAAATTGTCTTTTGATTCTTCATCAAGTGTTGTTATCAATCACTCCAAATCCACGAACTCATAGAACGCAACAATACTTTTACAGTCTTCTTACAACTAAATAAAAGGCTGACCGCACTCCCCCGCCTGAAAATATCAAATTCCTCTAAGGGGGAAATTCCTCCTGGTTGAAAACTCCTGGTCTAGTAAGTAAAGTTATTAAAACTAACCATATGGAATTTTGGAAATAAATATAATTAAAAAATATTAAGTGTAAACAGGAAAAAGAAAATTCCGCACAATGAGTATTTAAATCAATTGTTACAATTTTTACTCAATTATTGTAAGAGTAAAGACGTAAAAGTAAGTATCGAAAATATTTTTAAAATTTCATGAGTAGCTTTTCTTGGAAATTAAAAAGAAGTGTTGAATACTTTACATATTTGATTACTAACTATAATTTTTAGTGAACAGCTACTTTATTGTCATAATAATAAAAATGGAAAATTGAATAAATGTTCATTAAATTTTTATTTATGAAAAGAGGAAGGAAAAATGATAAGCTTGACAACAATGTTCGCGCAACTCGTTATTCCAATATTCTTTGGATTTCGAATAAAAGAAATGAAGTTAGCATTCAACAATAGTTGGTCTTTAAGTCATCCTCGCGAACCTGCCTATATTTTTTCACGTATTTTTTAAGTAAAATGGGAAAATGAATTTTACATTTTATTTTTTTATAAAATACGTTTTTAATAACTACCTTAGTTAAAGTTATTTACTTATTACGTGCTCCGAACTTGGGCACTGCAAGGAAAGGAAGAGATGCCCCGTGGAGGTCTTTTAAAGGAGACTGCCTCGTATCCACGTTAGGCATGGGGGAAAACCACGAAAATGGCCACGCAGCCAGCCCGTTCGTCGGGACTCAAACCGAACTACCAGTTTTCAGCGGCTTTTACCGCTCGGCCGCTAGTGGGCCTTCCTCAGTTAATCTCCTCATAGATTCATTTCGATGATTGAAACTCTGCTTGAAGAAAGAAACGAGATTTTCAGTGCACCTTGTTTTTTATTTATTATTTTTGTTTATATTATGAAAACGTATAGTGATATATGATTCTCAATGATACTTTTAGAGTACCTATGTTTATGCTGCTGAAAAACAGAAAACCAAAATTATATTTCCCAGTATTATGTTATTTGAATGAGACTAGCCGAGACAAAGTATGCAAAAGTTATCTATCCTAGGAGAGACGTATTCGTGGCGAACGTTTCATGGAAACTGGTCTTTTACATTACATAAACAGAAAATCTTGGTAACGCCAAGCAACACGCAAAGGAATAGATGTCTTCGATGAAAACTACGGAGAACTGTCTCGTAAACGTACGTTTCAGACGGGAAAAACCACGAAAGTATCAAGAATTGATCCCTGATCAAACTACCAATAGTTTAATGGTCTTAACCCCTCGGCCATTGGTGCCTCTTGCATCATTGGGATTTCAGTGTTTATAATTTTTCATTCTTTTTTAAGAATTTTTTTTTTTTTTTAAGAATTTTAATTTCATTTCTTTTCATTTTTTTATAATTTTTCATTCTTTTTTAAACTGTAAAAATGGTAGTCAGTCATGTCTATGGTATTTCAGTATTTATAGTTTTTCATTACATTTTTTATTTTGGACTGTAAAAAAGGTAGTCAGGCATGTTATTTGTTTAGTGAAATAGTTTAATGATTGTAAAATGCGCAATAGTATTGTGTTGGGATTAATCTTAATTAAAAATTTTAATTATTTCAGTTGATCTTTTAGCAATTTATTAAAAATATAAATACAAATTGAAATTCCTAACTACACTGCTGCCCATCGTAAATTTAACACCCTGAAGGAAGCATGCAAATAACATGAAATTTACAACATGCATTAGCGGAGGTGAGATATGCAAATGATTAGAATTTCAGCGCAGACGCACATCACGCGTGCCACTTCAAAGCACTATTTAAGGCTCGGAGTTTTCGACGATTTCAAGTTCGGAAATTGTGTTTTTCTTGTGGTGTTTTCAAAAAAAACGATCAATTATGCCTCGTAGTAAACAGCGATCATCGTTTGATCAAGTATCCGAGTTCGACAGAGGAAGGATAGTGGCCTACCGAGAGTATGGATTATCTTTCAGGGAAATCGGTTGTCTTGATGGACGAAACCAAACAACTGTAATGCGGATATGTGACCGTTGAAGGCAGGAGGGTACGACGGACCGACGTGTTCGATTGCATCCACCTCAGTGCACCACTTCACGTGATGACAGGAACATTTTGCGCATAGCAGTGACGGATTGCTCAGTCACATCACGAACCATAGCACAGCACATTCACTCTGTATCGCATCATCTAGTGTCTGCTCGTACCATTCGACGCCGTTTACAGCACAGTGGTCTGTTCGCAAGACGTCCATTGCTTCGTCTACCCTTGACGCAGAACCACAGACGTTTCCGCCGCCAACGGCGCGATGAAAGAAGGATGTGGATGTCATAATGGAATGAAATTGTCTTTATTGACGACTCATGCTTCTGTCTGCAACACCACGATGGTCGGATTCGAGTCTGGAGACACCGTGCTGAACACTCGGAGTCTGGAGACTCGTGCGTTATGCACCGCCACACTAGTCCTGCACCGGGTATTATGGTATGGGGCGGTATTGGATATCACTCTCGCACTCCTCTAGTACGCATTGCCGGTACTTTAAATAGCCAGCACTACATCTCCAAGGTGTTGGTGCCAGTTGTCCTTCCTTACCTTCAGGGCTTGCCCACAGCCGTATTTCAAGTGGATAATGCGCGACCACACATCGCACGCATTGTCCAAGGGTTCTTCGTCAATCGCCAAATTGAATTGCTTCCCGGCTGGCTCGCTCTCCGGATCTTTCGCCGATAGAAAACATATGGTCCATGGTTGCTGAACGATTGACCCAGACTACATCCCAAGCTGCTACACCAGATCAACTTTGGCAACACGTGGAAGCTGCTTGGTCTGCTGTACCCCAAGAACACATCCAAAGTCTCTTTGAATCTATGCCGAGGTGTGTGGCAGCGGTGATCTCCAACAATGGCGGCTACTCTGGCTACTGATTCTGGAAGAAACTACACTTCACAGTCTATAAGTTTAATCATTTGGTACTTGGTCAACAGGTTATCTACTAAATAAATTTTATTGTGATATCTCTTGTCTTTCTTGGTGTTGCAATTTGAGTGGCCGGCAGTGTATTAATTATTTCAATTATTGTAGCTCTTCCCTACTTTCATGATATTTCGATTTTATCAAGTTAAACATAAATTTAATTGTTTTGCAGATTACCCACTGGCAAAGCCCCCAAATGCATGCGTATTTTCCTGCCCTCAACTCTGGAGCATCTCTTCTTGGTGACATGTTGGCAGACGGCTTAGGATGTTTGGCATTTACTTGGGTATGGTTTGGTCCATCTTGAGCATGCATTTTTATTTTCCTATCCTAGTTTATGAACACTAATAAAGAAATGAACAGTTGTTAATAAAATTTCAATATTCTTGTTTGTTTGTTTTTTTATTTCTGGCAGTAGTTTCTGGCAGCGATTAAAAGCTACTGCCATAAATATGTTTTTTAAATTTCTGGCAGTAGCTTTTAATAGAAGAATAACACATATCACAAACAGATAAGGAATTAAACTCAGTGTAAACCAGAATTTAAAGCGCACAGAATTTAAAATAAAAGTATAAACACATATTAAATCAAACGAAACACACTAAAAGCATTCTATTAAAATCAGAAGCAACTGACAGCAGTTCATACGCTTCGAATCATCTATCTAGCAAACCAGAATCTATCAATAATGTTTATAAGGATGGACAGTTTTTAATGCGTTTTGCACCCATAACTTCGTCATCTCCCGCTGCACAGTTAGGACTAGAAAGAAATCGGAATCTAAGTGAATAGTTAAGCTATAACAATATCCCACCTCTAAATGTAAACTTGCAGCTATTCACAGACATGGAATTTTATCATATGAATGCTAAATACATACATATATTAATTTTTGTGTGCGTAACTATTCTTCTATTCTTTATATATATATATATATTACAGAAACACAAAAAAATAATGGAAAAAAGATATGTAATCATACCAAGAATTTTCGCAATTTTATATTTATATATGGTAAAATATAAAATAACTATCTTTCAAATAATAAATTAATTAATAGCCCTTTAACTCCCATCTTCATTCCGAAAATAACAAAGCAATTATTACTCCCTGTCCGTCATCTACACTTTTCGATGAAATCTTAACACAACACCTGGACATTAATCTGTCGTGTGATCTAAGATGGAATTCGGTATAAAAGGTAATTTTGCACCGCAACTCCCCCTCTCTTCTCTTCTGCTTCATTTCGCTGCATCGCTTTGTCGTTAGCCACGCAGAGTTTACTTTTCCAATTTTCGTCCATGGTTTAAGAAATGTAAGCTGTGTAAAATTGTGCGGTGCATAGCGCACCCATAGTGATGAAGTGCATTATCAAGGAATAAAATTATGTGTGGAATTTACCGTTATGTGTGTCTTCGAGTACCATCTTTCTAACTAAGCAGTAGAGGGTCTCTAAGCTATTACAATGCAGAGAACCATCGTCATTCCGTTGCAACGTTTTCAACAAGTCATCCTATTACATATTTATATATATAAAGAAAGAAATTTAGAACCAATTTTTCACAAAGACTAACGATTGAACAAATGAACTCGTAAAAGCCTGTAAATGTAGAATAAGAATATTTTAAAATGTAAAAATTAAAATAAACCATCACAAGAAAAAACAAAAAAGAATATATAAGAACAAGAAAGAAGAAGAATCCAATCAACCTAGACATAACGTCTTCAGGAGGAGGCATGTCGAACTCAATTACATTCCCCTTGTTTTAGAAGGAAAATACACGAGAAATACTCAGAACAACTCTCAGCAGGAATGGGCACTGCTTAGAAAAGTTAAATCTAAGATTGGGACATAAACTGTTTCTGATGGACTGTGCGAAAGTAATGGCCATGATTATAATAAGCTGTGCAGAAATGTCCATTAGTTGTCCATGATTCGTTACCTTTTAGAAAATTCCATGGTCTTATAAGAGTGATGTGCGAAAGTGTAACAACACCATGAAATTACACTAACTGGACTTATTAAAATCCTTATACATTTTTTTTATTTTTATTAAAAATATTTTAGGAAAGTCATATTGCAAGCGGCTTGCTAATTGAATATGGTTAACTTGTAAAATTGATCCCTTTTATTTTATCTCTTATCACAAGCCTGTACTTTGTTATCGTTATATAAATTATACATTTTGTTGATTTTGAGCTTTGAGAACAGAATGTGGCCCTTTGGCTGCCTGTCGCCCGCCGCTAATAGGAGTAATAAAAGTTATTACCCCTAATATTTTCTACAAAATTATCCAGATAAACAACATCAATCCTAAGAAAGCAGAAAATCAGCTTATTCTTCAGTTTACTCTTGAGCCATCCTTATCTTCAAAAATACATTTTTTTCTAGTTCACTTTTTTAACAATAAAAGCGAATAGATAGAACACTATCAAATCTCAAAATGCACAGAACGTTTTAAAAAATTTCATCTCATTTAAGGTTGTTACATCTTTTCGGCTGCCAATTCCTGCTTTGTATACATTTTTAAGTTTAGAAGACAGAAAATTAAGAATTAAAACAAATGTTAACATTTGCGCGCTATACATTGTCATTTTAGAGTGAAAATAGTATCTGAAAGAATAATATTAGCGAATTAAATTCATAATATCGGAGTAATATTTTACAATTATAAAAACTAATAACATTACATTTGCTTGATTGAATTATGTACATTTCTAATGTATAAAATACAACTTTGTCTACCATTAATTTTGATAACAAAAATATTACTGTCGTGTTCATTAACACTTTCATCCGAATCACTTTCGGTATTATATCCGTTTTCTGTCCACAGGCATCCAGTCCAGCTTGCACAGAGTTGGAGATTATAGTTATGGACTGGCTGGCGAAAATGATTGGTTTACCTAGTTCTTTTCTACACTCATCCAGAGGAAAAGGTGGAGGAGTGATTCAGGTAAACAAACTTTAAATTCATGTTCTTGCTAGCATCATTTTTATATTCGCATCTTGATTACGTTGTCAGCCAGGAGAACATTTCAACCTTTACATTTGCATATGCAATTAATTTGGTACATTTCCTTAATCTGCTCGCAATATCGTAAAATCTTAAGAACAAATAATATGACATAATAACACATAATAAATAATAATAAGACAACAAGAAAAATTAATTTAATTATGAAAAGGGTAGAAAGGGCGTTCTTTATGCCAATAAAGTGTTTATTTAAGGTGGAAACTGTTTGCCTATTGCCTCTACCATAGAATTAAAATAATTCATTCCGCCTGATCCTTGCTTCTTTCTTCAAACAAATTCTTGTTGTTGACTAATGCTCACTGGTCTGACCCATTGTCAGCCCAACCCCATGAAATTCTTCGTGGCAAGGAGTTCAAGATACGCCTGTCTTTGACAACAGCCCTCACAGGTGACAGTGCTATTTAGCTCAGTTCAATCCCCAATTTTGTTGGAGTGCACCCGGGGAGACGGGCGTCTCTCACCCCTCTTTCCCTACAACCTACCTCTCGAGAGGACTTTCCGCTTGCCGCATATTTAGAGTGCCCCATGCCGCACGGAAACTATACATTTACAAACATCCGAGCTTTTTCCGGGGTTCGAACCCCTACCCTTCGGCACGGCAGAATGATAGGACGTGTGATGTTGCCTTGCGGTACCTCATTGTGTCTTATTTCTTGGTTTAGCCGATACCCATAAACGCTCGGCAGTTTTCGTATAAGCACCTGTTTACAGATATTGCATATACATACACTTAAGACTTTACATACCTGACATACCTCAAGAATGCTGCAAATATTCCAGCGAATCTTTTTCGGTGGATGGTAATTCAAAGAGTCGTATGGCGTGCCCAAACAACGCGAGACTCAAAAAGAGAATTCCGGAATAAAAACGGCCGTCAACACGTAATGAGATACGGTTGCCAGATTCGAGAGCAGATAAAGGAAATGTACCGTTAATTTTAATTTCTAATATTTACGTATTCTGAGCCTGGGGTTTGAGAGCCAATCTAGATTCAGAAGTAATATGCTGTTTAAAATAATATTAACTCAACCTGTTAAAAAGTTTTAAATAACGTAACCAATATACTCGAAAATGACATAAAAAAAAAAAAAGAAAGAAAGAAAGAACAAGAAATAGACATTTTATTTATTTTTTTACGGTAAATATATAAAACAATTTCTAAATTGTAAGCTAACTTTTTTTTCCAGAATTGGGCAGGTTTTTTAGACTGAAATAAAATTAACTACATTCTAGACCAGACATTCTTAACTTTTATTTTATGGAATGAGCTTTTGAAAAAAATCGTCTTGCCTCTGAAAATCATATGTGGGAGTTATATACATAAAAATCCCTTCAATTTTATTAATTGTAAACTGTTGATATCATAATTCAATAAATTGTATTACTGCTTTTAGTAGTCGAGAACATTTATTTTATCTTACTCGTTAAGACTGCCTTCTTTGTATTATTTTTCCCGTCACGAAACGCGTTGTTGTTGTTACTTATGCTAGATTGTCTGACAGTAAAATCAGCCAGCCTAAGCCCGCGAAATTCCTCGCGTCAAGGAGCGCAAGATTACGCCTGTCGTTGGCAACAGTCTTGAGCACCATACAGGTGACAGTGCGATTTAGCTTAGTTCCGCCCCCTGTTTTGATGAAGAGTACCCTGGGGAAGGGCCCAAGCGTCTCCCACCACTTCCCCTTACTCACTCGAGAGAACTTTCTGCTCCCCGTATATTTGGAGTGCACCGACACTATACATTTACAAATATCCATGTCTTCTCCGGGATTCGAACCCGGGCCCTTTGGCACGGCAGTCAGCGACGCTAAACGCTATACCGGTTGGGGGGGCGTCACGAAATGTAAACGAATTAACGATGTAGTTTAAAGCCATTTTAGGTTTACGAATTTTTGGTTTTCTGTTTTGTTATATCCGAGTTGGTTTAAGAGTTGTAAATTTTATCTCAAATTAACTATTATGAGGGGGGTCGTTTTGGATGGGATCATGAAACAGTCCTTTATAGTGTAACAATTATATATTAACAGGTTTAAGTTACACGAGGACATTACATTTAAGTAAATTACAGAGCCAAGAGTCAGACAAGCTATCATGCTAAACACTTGGCTTTTAGTGAAGCACTTCTCCGGCTACTCACCAGAGGGCACCCGCGTTGTTCAAGTCAGTCCAACAGTTTATATTAGCTGCAGAGTTTATATTAAAGGATTGGTTACACTATCGAGTTTCATCGATAAACTTAGAAAAGGAAGTTGTGTTTTCACTCGGGAAATACTTAGTTTTCATTCAATTCATCGCTTACTGTGTTGTCTGATTGAAAGTTTTCATTTGAAATTTAGTCAATAAGTTGTTAAATTTCAAAAGAATAATTTAAATTTTGTTGTAATGAAACACGTTTTCAGAAGCAGCACTTCTTTGCAACTACGCAGTGAACAAGGATGCCAGACAGCAGAACATTTACAGAAATCAAAATAATGCATGGCACAAAATTTTCTCGTAAAAAAAAATCTTACAAAATTTGATTCTAAATTTTATCCTTGTCTGAAACGTATACACATAATTAGAAATTTGTTGATGATAAATTTAATTTAATATAGTTAAATTAAATGCAAAAGATCTAGTTTTGATCCTCTTGGAATTTATAGCACTTGTTTAACACATTACTAAGCAGGATTCAAAATCAATCAGCAACGAATCATCAAAAGATCAGCTTTAAACTTTAATACTGGCGACAATTCTAAGTTGAAATGGCTAATTCTTATTAAATTTAATACAATTTCCGCGTCATCAAAATTTGCTATAAATCTATAATCAAGCAGAGAATATGCGAGAGTTTTTCTTATCCAAAACTAAAAGAAAAAAAATATGCTCTAGAAAATCTCTTTGGAAGGAAAATTCTGTATTTATGCTGAGAGTAATTGTTAACCCCTTTTTTTTTTTGTTCTTTTCGGAAAGCTTCAGTAATTCCAAAGCAAACTTTTGCTCTTTTAGAAAGCTTTAGCAAATCTAAAGTATTTCTTTCCGCGAAATTTATCGAATCAAAGGGAAGATAAAATCCACAAAGTGTTAGCTAAAAAGGATTTCTTTTGTTTAAAAAAATACAGTGCAGTTGAGCTAAGCAGACCGTTTTTTCAATCACAATCTTCTGTTAAACTCTTAGCGACTTCCTCTAAAACTTGATAGGTTTCCGTGAGACTCTGGTTTTTCTATGGAACTTGAATCCTGCCGTTAATGTAGATAACTGTTCAGAGGAGATATTTTCTTGCGTGAAAAAAGTTTTTCCCCAAAATAAATATCATATTTTTAGGGAAAAAATGCAGGATATTTTCAGAAAAGCTGAGAAATTTTAAAACCTAGTACAAATAAAAATTTTACAAAGGATTCCATTATACTTTATTGATAAAATGAAATTATATGTCTTCGGCACGCCTTCACCAGCTTTCCGATGGCGAAAATCATTCAGCATGTTTCACAGTGAGAAAGATTGTTTTCAGAGTTATCAACAAATTTTATTTTATTATGTTTTAATTTTAGGATAATTAAGTTTTCTTTCGGAATAACAGTTACATAACGTATTTGTTACGGTTATAGTTTTCTGTAACTATCAGGAAGTATTTCAACCTTGATTATATTTTATAGTATGCATATATATATATATATATATATATATATATATATATATAATAAGAACACTTCTCCAAGGAACACTTTTAAATTTATTCACTTTCTCTCAGTGCATTCCTAAGGAATGCAGTGAGATACAGAGATACAGTGATGTGTATAGTATTCTAAAAGTAAAACTCTTTACGTGCAACTGAAGATTACTTTCGATTACTTCCTTTCTAGTTTGTGATATCTGATTTAACCACATATAACCTTTAATGCAAATACTACAATAAATTAAACTGAGGTCTGAAAATTTCAAATTAAAGTCCAAGTAAAGTTTAGAAAAAACATTTTTAATGTTATTTAAAAAATGCATAAATAATAGAATTTTTTAGAACTGGAATTTAACTTTCGTATGTTGATTCCAATTTAATATCTTAAACATTTTAAGTTAAACAATTATAATTAGCCTTCTACTTTTACAAATTAAATTCCAAGGAGCCCAAAGTATAGTACATAAAATGAAATTAAAAAACATAAAATTTAAAAGTTAGATGTTCAAAATGGCGAATTCGAATGGTAGGGGAAAGATTTGCAATTAGACAATTTAATCATAAACTACTGCCAAGTGGAACCTTCCGCGTTTGTTTAAGGTAACAAACGTCGCTCAAAATGGCGATTTTGGCTAAAAATCTCATTTTTTAAAAAAACCTAACATTTTTAAATGCCATATTCTTAGCTATCAAAAACAACTTTTCATTTCTCGATATCTTGATTAAAATTGGAGGTATACCAGTTTCTCTGAGCGACAAGAAACCGAAAATTATTGTCTGTCACATCGAAAGTCAAAGTATGAAGGGCAAAACAAAGATGCAGTTTGCACTATTTTTTTAGTCCAAAGAGACTTTCTCCCTGAGGGACAATTGTTTTCGTTTTGTGATTTTGCATCAAATCACTGAATGTCCGTTTCACTTTTCAAACCGTTGCCACCAAATATTATCGCCTTGAATTATATTTGAAGAAATTAGATAATGAAATATTTTCATAAATGTATGTAAGTTTCTCGCAGTGTGATAAAACAACGGTACCTAGAGCCATCCAATTTTGAATAACGTAATCCTCCAACGAATATGAGCATGTGGAAGCCCAAATTTGAAACTTGGAATTTGATTTATTATCGATTTCATATTTTGTAAAACTTTAACGAATTTTTGATAAAAAACTCAAGAATTTCAAAGCGAGCAATGGCAACGTTGTACAGAAAAATCATTTTTATCTCCAGCGCACGAGACTGTGTATCAGAAATTCTAAAGATATGC